TCTGATTTTGTGACTTTTTGGAGCAAAGATAGCCGGAAACTGGAGAAAACAAGCAAATATCTGCGCAAAAACTGTAAAAGTTTGCCAAAACCGGAGTAAACTCACTTCATTTTTTCACAAACTTGGAGTAAATTTCCCGTACTTTTGTCTCAAATCAGAGCAACTTTCTACAAAATTTCTGAAAGCAGAAGGGGAGGTACACCTTTCTCACACAAACGGTCTCGTCGCAACTGTATACAGACAGTTCAATAATACATGGTCATCTTTTTTTCTAAGAGCTTCAAAAAAGAATATTGCAAGTTGAATCAGCGCTGCACTGCCAGTTCGCATCGGTACGCATGCCATGCCATCGGCCGCTGGCATCGGTGCGCACCCGTGCCCAGAAAGTGCCGATATATTTCTGCCCAAAAAGTGCCACACTGATAAAAATCAGTGCCGCACTGAAATTTATTTAATCAGTTTAATTAGGTTTTTGTTATGGTTGTCTATACTGAATTATGTATTAGAGTGCGGCGCTGATCAGTACCACATTGATATGCCAAAACCATGCGGTATTTCCTCGGCACTTCTCTTATGAGAAGGAAAAGATGAAGACAGAAAGACATTTGAAATATTAGAAGTAGACTGTGGTATTAATATAAACAGAAATTGGAAAACAAAATGGTGATGGAAAACAAAACTTCGGCACCGATGCGCATCGGCGCCGAGAAAAAAAATTATTCGGCATCGGTGCGCATCCGTGCACAACCAGTGCCCATATTTTTTTGTAGGGTGACGGGTCAGTTAAATTATTTATTAAATTTAATAAATCTGAATAATTTCTATTATTCTGTTGAATATTTTCCCATAATTTTAATGATTCTCGTGTTTTTTCCTTAACAGTTGATAATTTTTCAACTGAATGCAATTTACCTTTAAGAACATCATCATTCATATACATTATGATATTTAATGCACATTTTAAATCAAAAGTTCGTTCATATTGATAAGTTGGCGAATATAATGAATTCATTGATAAATTAGAATAGAAATTCATGTCCAGTATATGTAATTGTACCTTCTACGGTTAATTCTTTTGTTGCCACTAACATCTAATGGTTATTAAGATGTATCAGTACGAACATAAGATCAAAGTCAAAAATATTCAGAGGTTTCATCCGTCTTGTCATACATTCGGCATCAGCCTTGGATAGGTTTTGGTAAAAAACAAAAGAATTAAAACAATGAACACGAAGGTTAGTTCCATCTTGTTCTTTTATCATTTAAAAATACTTATTGACCACCTAAAGAATAACTAAGATTACACCAGGCTGAAGAGAAATACCTCGCATGAACGCGTCCTACGCAGAGCTGGTGCGAAGCGGTTAGGATTGGGTCCACATTTCAGAAGCGCTCAAAATCGTACAGAACACAAGAAAAATCCTCAGCTAGAGAAAAACAAAACATTTTCGAAATTGGGGGTCATTCGCCCGCCCGGATACGTTCGTATCAGCCCTGGACCTAGGTTATTCCCTTGACTCTAGTCTAGAGTCTTACACAACTCTTTTCTAACCACGAGAGAGAAAATATTCAGAGAGATAGCCGAAATATCTACTGATGCTGAGAGAAAAAAAAGATAAACAAACTGTTTTTTTTTGTAGTTCGCCGATAGATGTCGCTAGAAATCAGCCAATTTTGATAAAATAAAAATCACTTTTTATGGACAATAAAACCTACAAAATATAGATAGTGTATCATGGCGAATCGATCAGGAATACTTACAGCCTCTTGTTCGGTGGGCATCCAGAAAACTTGTTAGCTTCATGTTACACTATGCGCTTTTTCCGTGGAATTAGAGAAGTTCACAACATTTCTCAGTTAGTCGGGTTGCGAACGCCGGCAGAAGGGAGGCGTGAGCATTGTCTTGAATTTATAAATATGTTTAGACCTCTCGGGATCTTTGGAGAGTATCGAGAAAACTTTTTAGATTTGTATTAGATTACAAAGTTTACACATCAAATCAGAGAAAAATTCATAACATATTTTAGATAGTCCCCTAGCGAACACTGACCGATGAAAAGTTGAGCGTTTTCTTTAATTCAAAGTCATGGAAGGTGTGAGTCATGAAGAAGTCATGGAGCCGAGCGTTACCTTGTATTATTATATTATATATATATATTATTCTCCTCTTCTACCTACCACTGCCATTAATACGGTAGACAAACTCTGCAAAGATTTCTTATGCGTCTTATACACCTCCCAAAATTCATATGTAAAGTTGAAAAAGACATTAAATTTAAATGTCATACAACAGATTGGAGTTTCAATTTATTAGGTTAAGAAATTTTTTCAAATCTTATCTGTATTAGATGACGATAATAGCCAGTGCGAGCAGTAGTAGCGTTAGTATTGGTCACAAAAAAGCGCGATATTAGACATAACGTGTGTTTCAGAATAAATGGACCTCTTAGTATTTAGTCGATATCTCTGTCGATGTTCGTTGTCAAGACTTGAACTTCTTTTTAAAAGATTGTTCGTTCAATTCTCTACAAAATCTATATGGAGCAGTTTTTATACATTGTATAAATAGAAGAATATGGATTAAACGCTGCGAAGCTCCAGTCTTCATTACTTTCTAACTCAAAACTCATCGTAAAAACATTCATTTTGTAGGCAATGCTATACATAAAAAGCAAAATTAAAATGTACGATCTGGTGCTCCGAAGTGTCGTCTTTCTTTTCATCTATCATAGATTGGTTTTAAATCGCCTTTTTCTGGCACAGATGGCGATTTAGTAAATGCATCAGAAAGAGGGGAATTTTTACTCGTTAGCCCAAACACAGAAAAAGAAATGCACTTATTGAACTTTTTCTGTTTGGATGTAATAGAAGAAATAATCTGCTTTAAGTTGAGGCCACCCTAGTTCCGAATTGTTCGATTTTAACCGATTTATAAAAGTTTTTCCAAGTGCCCCAAAACTTTAAGATCAATAATTTTTCGTAAAATCAGTGAAAGAAAAAGCATTCCTCCACAACAGTCGTAATGATGAACATTTTTAAATATGGTCAGTTGATAGAACTTTTCAAGGGCTATAAAATGGTCACTTTCTCTTGCCTTATATCACAAGTTACAAAGGGCTAAAATTCAAAAATTATGTTTTAGGCTAGAAAGTAATGACCTTGCTACATGACCTTGCTAGAAAATTTTTCTTAAATATCTAGTACAAATAAATATTGAATGGAAATATAAAAATATGTAGGTTTTATAGAAAATAGCTCAAAATCCCCTAAAAACCCTTTAAAATAAGTTTTACAGGTATGGAAATACTCAATAGTACTTGATTGACATAGTCCTCTAAAATACTTCAATAAATATTGTAGAAAACAGTCTCTAAAATATAAAGTCCGTAAAGGTTTTCTAGAATACCTCTGGAAAACCCTAAAATTAGACGGCATGTATTGGTGACCTTATACGTTTGTAAGCCATGCTTTTTAGATACGAGTGCAGAAAAAGCCAAAGTTTTGTCGTAGAGCGCTTGGTCTCTGTGAAAGGTTTCCAGAAACCTCGGGTTTTCAGTAAAAATTCGTTTGCAGAAGCGGCCTGAGATAACACAAAATTTTTCCACAATAATTTCTAGATAAAAAAAAGTACGCTCTACAAGATCTACATGGTTGTTTGACTTCGATGTCTAAGACTGTTCTGAGAAAAAAGCGCCGCGTAAAACCTCATCGCTGAAAAATCGATTTTCTGGAATCTCATTATGAAGTATGGGACCGAGAAAACTGATAATGCCATTAGATTCAGCATGCTCAGAAACCTCTAAGACCCAGCTCTTGCGAACTTAGCTTCAATATTAGAGAAGATAGTGAAAGTAAAAAATCCTCTCATTGAACGAACAATCTTTTAAAAAAAAGTTCAAGTCTTGACAAAGAACATTGATAGGGATATCGACTAAATACTGAGAGATTCATTTATTCTGGGACACCCGTTATTAATTCAGTTAGAATATCAAAACGAAAAATCACCGAATGAAGGCTTTTCGTACGCATCCTATGTCATTCTAAAAACTTCAATCGATTGGTGTCTAGACTGATATGAGTCTTAGCTCGGTGATTTGCTAGCAATATCATATTAGAACTATTTAACATCAGGTTTTCTGGATTGGCCTTATGATCATTATACGTGTATGGAATATATTACTCAGCAGAAGCGAGTTCTCCACTGCGTGCACGGAACATTTATTTTGTCTTTGCTTTCTTCATTTCTGAAAAATCTGATAACTACTGATCTTCTTAAACAATAAAAGACAACGATCTTCTTCTACTTTACCTTTCGCATTATCAACTCTACAGTGGTCTTCCATTCTGAGCAGAGGTTTAGCATCGAAAATCGAAACAGATACAATAGTAGACGACGTTGAACATGATAGAAATGAATCGTTTCCTCTTCGTAAAAAATGATCGAGTCCATTTCATTAAACAGACAGTTGTGCGATCAGTTTAGTTGATTCCTTTGTGAAATGTTTTCTCTTCTAATGGATCGCGGCTGCTAAAATGTGGCATTGAAATGTTAAAATTTACGAATGTCTGATGTGGTAAAATGCTCGGACATGTTGTTTATCGCAGTGATAACACAACAAACATGTTTGATCAAATATTTCCATGAAGATATGATGTTTGATGAATGGTGTGAAAGAAAAAACCGTAAGAACTGTATTTTACTATAAAAACTTGCAAAAATCAGAAAAAATTCACTAATGGTCAACGAAACTGTTGCTTCAATATCACAATGTCGTTTGAAAAAAAGAAAACAATGCAAATTTTTCTATGACAAATCATACATATAAATAATATGTAAAAGTATCATATAGAAAAAAAAGGTGAATACAGTCACACAAATACAAGAAAATAATTTACCTAGAAGACTGATCTATGTGCTGTCACACTGTCAAGAACAAAAACATATCTAAAATAGCAACATCAAATGACCATTCTCGCTTGAATACCAATAATTGATTTAATTAAAATAAATTGTTTTCATCATCACCGGTACTAATCGGACATTGAGACCTTTTTAACAGATCATTTAGCTTTATATCTAAAATGTATCATAATAAATGAAAGCTCATAAATACGTTAAATATTATACTAACCTTTTGAAACATTTTTTGCGGCTATGTGCATCTTTTCAACAAAATCTGGGATTCCTATAAAAGAACGTTAAACTGTTTTGTAGCACAAAAGTAGAAAGACAAATACTAACCAGTTTGTGCAAGATATGAGTAAGTTGACACCGGCATCGATGTTTTGGCATCATCATAATATGTTAGTAGAAAACGCATCCCTTTCTAGAAATTAACAAATAAATAGTTAATAACTAAGCAAAAAAATATTCTGAGGAAAATCCTTTTACTTCTTCTAAATTTCGCTTCGGTTGTATTAACATTGATGACTCATATCTTGTAACACGAACACATTTATTTTTCTTCATCAAAAGTGGATGATCAGTTGAACGACATTTGAGAATAATTTTTGGAGTTTCTGATGATGTATCAATGGAAAATCGTCTTATGTAAACATAATCACGATTATTTAGTGGGTACTAAATATAAAAATACAGTTCTTGCTTATAAAAAATATGAATATTATAGTCATCTTACCGGAAATTTATGAATCCAATGTACCACGTCACTATCCATCGATGCGTTGGTTTCAATAATATCCAACTGAACAGCTTGCTTATCCCAAATTTGCCTGTAGTCAAGATCAAGCTAAACGAAGAGAACGAATTGATATTTGTCACATCTATAGCTAGTTTATTTACCTGAACATATAAGAATAGCAATGCAGAAACGTCTGTAAAACTTCCTAAAACTAAAAAAGAAAACGAAGAAGAAAAGTGAAATTGAGCAAAACGTTTCTCAGAGTGTACTTTTATATGTGTATACTTCTAACTCTTCATCATATCTTCGAAATATCAACAGACGCTCTTTAATCAATAAATTTTCCCATCCATTATCCACTAATATTTCGACTACATTCGAGTTTGGCATATCCAATAAATATTGATCAGATGCAGCTTCTTGTAATTCTTCATTATTAATACCATTTTCGTCCCATGAGAAAACACTAAATGCAGAAATGGTACTCGCTCCAATCAAATAAGGATAAAAGTATTTATGCTTGTCTTTCTCTGATGTTATCGATTTTGATATTTTGTAATTTTTACTATCATTACATTGTTCATAATTATAATTGTTATTTTTACGTGACCTTGTTGATGAGATGCATAGAGGTGCAAATGATACAAAATATTTTCGTCGTTTACATTCAGCATAAATCAAACGAAATGGCAGCTGAAATAAGCTTACTAATCTCAGTTCTGTTGAATAATTAGAGAATAACTCATGAAGAAGATGAAGTTTGTGTAATGATAATGATCTAAAACGGTGTCTAATGATACTGGAAGGAATTGTTAACCGCTGGAATAAATATACTTGACGTTCAATCATTTTTATCCATCAAAACACAACACAGATCTTAAAAAAAGTAGTATAATTACTCTCCAAATAATCTCAACATAACAGTCGATCCTACAGATCAAAGTTTTCCTTATACAACAAGTCTCAAAATTTACTCTTTGAAGATTGTTACTTAAATATTGTGTGCTGTTTCACAACACTGACCTAAGACAACTCTAGAGGTCTCAAATTAATCCTTAACTCAAGATTACGTTCCAATAGGTTAAGAAAAACTTGAGTTAAAACAAACTTTTAAGTGGATACCCGATCCACGGTTTACCAATACGCCATTCGAGTGCTTCCAAGCGAAATTGCGTTAAGAGCGTCTGAATATGCTTGTAAATGGGTGATATTTTCAGTGAAAATGGGCGACATATATCCTATGCTGTTATGTACTTATATTTTTCAACATCGTAAAGCAGGCGATTGCATGTTTGGAAAAAGAAAGTAAAGAACAGTTACTTCTCAGTGGTCGCATAGCTTTGAATACACATTCTGTGATGTACACTCTCTAAAAAAAATAGGCAGTTTAAAAAACCCGAACGTTTTTTTATTGTTGTCTCTAAACCCAAGTAGATATAGTAGCACATTTGAGGGTTTTATATCGTTACTAAATCGTTTTGGTTTTTTAAAATACTTTTTGGAAAAGTATTTTAAGAAAATAAAGGATTTTTTTAACACTGTTATAAAACCCTAAAAGTATTCTATTTATGTTACTAAACCCAAAGGGTTGACATATAAATCCTTTTAGTATTTTAATGAAACAACAGAGTTTTGTGAGGAAAGTAGACGGATTTTACAAGTACCAAAAATCCCTTGGGTTTAGTAAGCATTACTTAGTTCTTGACTCGATGAATACTAAAACCAAGGGTTTTTCATTATTGCTGCTAAATCCTAAAGGTTTTTCAATTCAACTCCGAAACCATTTTGGTCGTGAATTAAATAATGTTTACTAAACCCAAGACATTTTTGGTACCTATAAAATTCGTCTACTTTTTTACCGATGAAGCAAAATCTTTTCCTGCTTCTCACTTTACCGCACATAAAAAAGTGAGTATTGTTGTTTCAGAGAAAGCTCCCTTAGCTCAATTTTCTCCCAATATTACACCAATTTAGTCGTCAGCAGGAGTGAAAATGAATGTTTGATCTATTATATAACCTTCCATTTCTTCTTGAATTGACAACTATCTTCAAAAAGTAAAGTGTTAGAAAGAGCTGAAACCTTAGTTCGTTTCCTTTCTCTATATAAGAACAGAACCGTTAAATGCCCAAACTATAAGCAAACATAATATCATTTTAAATAGAAGGAATTATCCTCTAAAAGACAGATATTGCATTTCCAACTGAAATTTAAAAAAGGCTTAGTAAGACTGAAAAACTCCTTACTAAACCTTTTAAGGATTTCGAGATACTGCAGATATACGGAACTTAACACTAAAACGCCCGTAGCGGTTTGACCGTTTTTTGATTTTTATCCTTAATAAAACAAACTGCATACAATTTATTTAAAAATAAATTATGTCATAACTTTTAATTTGTCCCACAAAAACTATTTTTTTACAAAATTTTTAATTCATTTTTTAATTCAGAACC